TTCCATTGTGATGAAGAAATGGTTGAATATCAAGCCCAAGGTGTATGATTTTAGTGAGGATGAAGTTGATACTGAAACTGAGAGTGAAGATGATGGTATGTGTCATTGGGTTACTGCTCTTGGTGCCAATCCAACAGCCAAAATTGTCTATTTTCGTTTCGTTTTCTTGGATTTCACCTTTTTTTGATACAATTTTCTTTCAGTTTGCTCTCTCAAGAACGAAAGAACGCATAATCAAGAGGATCGTGCTAGTCGAGCACAAAGGAACTTATCGACATGTTCAAATCGAATTTCAGGTACTGCCTCCATGTCAGTATTCTGATGTTTTTAGAAATCACCCACTTCCTTGTCTATAAGTTTTGTGAGATCTCACATCAGTTGGGGAGGAGAACGAAACATTCTTTATAAGGGTGTGGAAACCTCTCCCTAGTAGAGACATTTTAGAAACCTTTAGGGGAAGCTCGAAAGGGAAAGCCTAAAGAGGACGATATCTGCTAGCTGTGGGCTTGGGCCGTTACAAGTTTAGTATTTGATAATAATCCTATCTCACCCTCACTATTGAAGTTCTTCCGGGAGGATCGTGTTCTAATTAAGCTGGAATTCGTCTTAAATTTTTGGAACTCTTGACTGTGGATCGAATATTGCCAATGCTCATTCTGTTCTAGAGAGGATATTTTAGCTAGGATTATATAGGCCAAAGGTTCCTTATGAATGGAATGCTGAATATGGGTTTGTTTCTTAAACTTTCATGATATACTTGGAACAGATTATGGACTTGTTTTTCAAGGAATTGTTTCAACCTGCATTTATATGTCAAGATTTTCAAAAGTTAATGGTTACTTATTTGAATGATCCAGACATTCCTAGTAGCAACCAGTTAAGACACCGACGAGGGAAATCTGAAACTCTTAGAGTTCAGTACATAAACACGAAAGATCTGAGGTTCGGCTGTGAACTACGACAACTATTTGAATCACGATCCCGGAGACGTTACTTATATTCACAATGATTTCTGGAAATATGATTTATGTAGGGTGACAATAGCTACATGGAACGTCGCGGGAAGAGTTCCAGATGAAAGCCTTGAGATAGATGACTGGCTATGTACAGAAGACCCAGGAGATATCTATATTATAGGGTGAGTGAAGGTCCTTATGCCATAGTTCCATTAGTACATATCTTGCGATGTTGATAAAAGCTTGTCAAATTTGATGCTTGCAGTTTCCAAGAAGTAGTCCCTTTGAATGCTGGGAATGTGCTGGGAGCAGAGGATAACAAACCAATTCCGAAATGGGAGGCAATCATTCGAAGAACGCTGAACAAGTCTTCCGAACCCGAGAACAAACATAAAAGCTATAGCGCCCCACCATCTCCCGTATTGAGGACTTCGTCGGTAGCTGATGTACTTGCAGATGGGGTTAATGATGAACAGTTGAAACTGATAGATGATGAATTTTCTGGGAATGTCGGGTTTGAACTGGAACTGGATCAACATCCCCTCAAGAAATTAAACCGAGTGAACTCGAATTTTCAGTTAAGTAGAATCTATGGCATTGACTGTGACCATAGACTAGACTGGCCTGAACATTCATTGGATGCAACCCCTCAAGTTGTTTCTTCTAATACGAAGTTGCGTCGAGTAGTTAGCAGTTCTGCTAGAATTGGCTTCCGTTGCTTGGAGAATCCTCTAATATTCCCTCCGCAGAGTTTTTCGATAAACGGAAACGGGTTGAAGAGGACATTCTGTAGTTCTGGGAATCTGATCTCAGCCTGGAAAGCGACACAGGAAACTTCAGAAGTCCTGGACAACCTTTCTGATGTATCTGACATTTCTGTTGAAGAAGAAGATGGTTTCCCAGAAGAACTTATAGAACAAGAAGTCGATGAGGATCCAACGGAGAGCACGAAATCTTATCCGAAATACGTAAGAATTGTCAGCAAGCAGATGGTAGGAATATATGTGTCGATTTGGGTTCGTAAGAGATTACGGAGACACGTTAACAATTTGAAAGTGTCTCCGGTTGGTGTTGGTCTTATGGGCTACATGGGAAACAAGGTAATACATTTATACACCTAGGACACCAGAATATCGAACTATGAACGAAGTAAGGCATGAGAACCTTTTTGGACGAGTAAATCATTGAAACTGTCTTATTTTAAGCTTTCACACTAGTTTAAATTGAATTTTATAGACATCCCATTAAAGTAAACGATAAGGAGCATATATTTTACTCATTTGGAAGTCTTTTTCTTGTTCATACGCTTACAGTGTTGCTGTTAGTAGGCTCATGTTGTTTACCCATTTGAATGCAGGGGTCTGTTTCTGTCAGCATGACACTTTATCAGTCGCGGTTATGTTTCGTTTGTTCTCATTTGACCTCTGGTCAGAAGGATGGAAAAGAACACAAGCGCAATGCAGACGTGAACGAAATCATACGACGAACACGTTTTTCGTCCGTGTTTGATTCAGGACAGCCACAGACAATACCTTCACATGAGTAAGCACTCTAATCTTTAAATGTGCTTTGCTTGACCATTCATAACATGTGCATTTTACCATTAATTTTGAAAACTGGAAAAAATTCATATCGAATCGGAGTGTCGAGTAATCTGTCTGCTATTTTTGTTCATACTAACTGAGCATTTCAAGGATCAAGAGACTATTTTTGTTCGTTCTGTGTCTTAATTTTGTTAGTCTAATATCGTTTGGAGTATGATTGTGACGAAATGTTTTTACGAGCAGTCAAGTATTCTGGTTTGGCGATTTGAATTATCGTCTGAATACATCGGAGTCGGTTGTAAGGAGGCTTGTAGCTCAAAAAAACTGGGAGGAACTCAGCAACTATGATCAGGTGACTAATTTGACTAAAATTCAAAAAGCTCTTAACGAACAATGTGTCTGTCTAGAACGAACAACTGATAGATATCGAGTTCTATATGTTTCTGCATCACTTAAGACGTTGGATTAAGGAAAGTAATGAATGGATGTATTGTGGCAGCTTACGCGAGAGCTGCACACGGGGCACGTATTTGATGGATGGAAAGAAGGGGTATTAGACTTCCCGCCAACGTATAAATACGAATTCAACTCGGATAGATACATCGGCGAAACCCCGAAAGAAGGAGAGAAGAAAAGGTCTCCAGCATGGTAAGTTGTTAGATAGAACCCCCCATTAAGGTGTAGAAGGAGATATATAACCCAGTTCTCGATTGATTGATTGATTAGAGGATTATTTGTAAATGAACAGGTGTGATCGGATATTATGGATGGGAAAAGGGATAAAGCAGATGTGTTATAAGAACGCAGATATAAGGATGTCGGATCATAGGCCTGTGAGCTCTGTGTTCCAAGTAGAAGTTGAAGTTTTGGACCATAGGAAACTGCAGAGAGCTCTGAATTACACCAACACTGCTGCAATTCATCCTGAGATTTTTGCTGATGAGAATGGGGAGTATGACTTAGATTTATAGCAGCAACAACAACAACCAAAGTTTCCACTGATTGGTTTGTTCCCTTGAAATAATATCCTCATCAAGGTAATATATAGTGTTCAAAGTTCATCATTAACAATTTTGTAACAAAATTTTACATACATAATAAGAATCCAACTATTTTGTCTATATTTAACTCAGGACTCTTCTTTTGTACTTCTTTTGTACTGAGAAATTTGGGTTATTTTGGGTTATTTGGTGTGAGACGAACGACTCGATTTTGTCCACTTTGAGCATAGTCTCACATGGCTTTCCTTTGGATTACCCAAAAGGCATCACCCAATGGAGAGAGTATTCTTTGATTATAAACCCATGACCATTCCTTAACATCCAACACCTCCTCTCGAACAAAGTATGTGTGAATAGATATGAAAATATTTTTACTCAACCAAAAGTGGGAATAGATATGAAAATATTTTACTAAACAAAAGAATCCAAATGTAAGAATAATAAATAAAATTGGAATCGAAAATTCTTAATTTTCATTGATATTTTAAAATAAGATATAAGAAACTAAATAATATCTCCAAAAAAAAATATAAACTAACTAAAACTTTATAATAAAATAAAAATATAAACAAATTAAATCTTGATAATAAAATAAAATATAATACTATTCAAAAATATAAACTAACTAATAATAATAAAATAAAAATATAAACTAATATAATTCTATTTAAATTTAACTAATTACAAATATCTAACTAAATAAATTAGACTAAATTCTATCAAGGATCGATCAATGTAATAATCTACAAAACTTCTGTGGCAGAGGTCTTTGAGACCATTTCCAGATGGAATCTCAATTATTGGGAAGGATCGAACAATGGGAACGAATCTACAGGGCTATCACCTTCTTTGCCCAGATCTTCCAACCTTTTCACATGGATGGCCGAGAGATGTGTCTTTAAGATCCTTCAATTGATTAGACTTCCAACATAAAAAAACACAGCTCTCATTTCATTCCAATTTCTTTTAAATCCAAAAATTGGATCATTGAAACCTTGGATATCAGATCCTGTGTGAACACCATTGAAATTGAATTAAGATACAAGCTTTTTAGGCATTAAATCAGTTTAAATTTCAGTTAGAACACCCAATTTTGTATTTAATAACTTCAATATTACAAACATTACATTTAAATCAAAAACTTTAAACCAAGTTGTTTTTTAAAGGTTTTATGGCCAAATATACTAAAATTCCAATTCAAGTTCAAGAGTGGAAATTTGGAACTAAACAAAGTCCCAATTCAAATATAGTTTTAATTTCAAATAATTTGATTGATGGAGATTCTAAACAAACATGAAAGGGGCATCAGTTCTCCAAGGTGATATAGCATCAATGAATGCTTCAGACGCAAATTACCCATTTGATTATATGAGATTCATCATATGCCCCAATCAGTCATACCGATCCAAAAAACTAATTCTAGTAAGATCATTCTCTAAACCATAGTTCATAAGAAATCCAACGAAAAAGAGTTAAAAAATAGATGTTTAGATTCAAAAGCGATCGGAACCTGTCGGGATTCACATTAACATCACACTGTAATTAGTCAGTGGATTGACAGACATGAATTTCTATCGTCACCTCGCATTTCCAGTATCAGAAAACCAAAACGAATTCAAACAAAATCAGCCACAGAAATCGCAGAAGAAACATTCATTAGCGAAATCAAATGTAAAATAAACAAAAGCTCAGAACTTCTTAGAGGGTTGTGTAGCCATCACCGACGACCACTCGTGAGAGGCCGGCTATAGCACAGAAGATTTTCATCACAGCTTCAGTATCAAAGAAAAGAAGACGATTGAAGAAAACAATTTCTTGAAACGAAAAACAAATTGATAATGCGCGGCGGAAGAACGATGAAGTGGAAAACGGAAACCCTAAGTGGAATTTGAAGCGATGAATGAATGAGAGAAAGAGGGGATTTTATAGACTCATTACCCACTCCCAATACAAAACCCTAATTAGTTTTGAAATTTAAAATATTTCAATATATTATTCTTTTGCCCCTAATTTCTGTACTTATTGCATCTCGGTCCTTCAGCTTTTAATTTCAAATAAATAGTTTAATTTAGGAAAAAAAAAAAAAAACATTTTTACTAAATTTCTTTAATTTTGAATTTAGTTTCTATTTATGTTTTAAATCTCACTTTTTTATTTTAAGTTTTGATTTTAATTTCTATTTAATCTCGAAGATAGTTAGCAAGCGTTGCGGATCACACCCACTTGATTATAATTATATGGGATTACGAAAGAGTTGCTAACCAATTTCTAGTAGTGAATTGTCTTGATTGACAAGGTCGATATACGTCCTAGAATTGAGTTATTAAAGAGGTCGTGTCTAGCATATTTATATGACATGAAATCATTCAAGTTATGTGCACAAGGATCAAACTCAGAATTCAAAGAAAAAAAAAATTATGAAAAATATTAAATTTCAAAATAATACATCACATATCATGTACCAAACAAATCAACCATTATACTATATTCTATGAAGATATGAAATTGTTATAAATGTGGAATTACAAAATTTTATAAAGTCAGAGTGAAACTTCCAGTGGGAATTACTAAAAGAAATTATTCTAATAGCGAAGTAGGAGGAATAATTAAGAATGGATGATATAAGAATATCAAACTAACAAAACAAAAGCAGTAAGAATCCTTTAGAATTGTTTCAGAAGGCTGTGTTCTAAGGATTACTTCAATTTGGAGTTATTTAAAAATGCTACTTACAGAGCAATCGTCGTGAACTCGCCAAATGGTTTCACCCAACAGATTTGCTACTGAAAGAACAGTCAACTGAGGGAAGTAGTTCTCTGTTATTGCTGGGATCGTGTTTGTAACTATCACCTCTTGAAATAGGCCGCTCGATAACCTCTCAATCGCTGGGGGGCTGCATGGTGATGAACATAAAAGAAGTATGGAAATTACGTTAGTAGGAATATAACCTTTCAAACCGTTTTGAAACTAACTTATATTTCAAAAAAGTGAAATAACAATTGGGTATGTGTGAAATCCCACATCGGTTGGAGAAGAGAACGCAACATTCTTTATAAGGGTGTGGAAACCTCTCCCTAGCAAACCCGTTTTAAAAACTTTGAGGGGAAACTTGAAAGGGAAAGTCCAAAGAGCACAATATCTACTAGCGATGAGCTTGGACTATTACAAATGGTATCAAAGCCAAACATCGGGCGATGTGCCAGCAGGGAAGCTGAGCCGCAAAGGGGGGGTTGGATTGGAGTGGTCCTATATCGATTGGAGAAGGGAATGAGTGCCACCCTCGGGTCTCGAAGGGGGGTGAATTGTGAGATCTCACAAGGGTTGGGGAGGAGAACATAACATTCTTTATAAGGGTGTAGAAAACTCTCCCTAACAGATGCATTTTAAAAACGTTGAGGGAAATCCAAAAGGAAAAACCCAAAGATAACAATATCTGATAGCGGTGGACTTAGGTTAAGAAGAAAGTTTTCCGTTCAGGATCATCCAAATTCTAGACAGAAAAGAACTTTATATCAAAGTTTTAAGGTTAAAATATATTTTTAATCTTTGTACTTTTGCTTCTGTAACATGTTTGAACTTGTACATGCTTTTTGTAATGATTTAGTTTGTGTTAGAAAAATGTAACGATAACCTAAAGTTCCTAATGTTAAGAAATTTATTGTAATCGAGTCATTTGAATGGACGAATAATTGAACCACCTTTAATTTTGGACTGTATTAACTTCTGTTAGCTTCATTGACTTGCCCATATTTAATGCCTAGGTTGTATTGTTTTTAACATTTTTCCTTCAAGCTTTAACCATTACATTTCTAAGAGCAGGACTAAGTTGTTATAATTAAAAATATGAAGCCCAAAACTTATAGAAAGCCAAAGCATAGAGATTATTACCTAAATACAGCATGAGTGCAGCAAGCATACACTTCTCTGGCACCCTCTTGATGTAAAAGAGCTGCACCTTTTGAAATAGTCCCTGCACCCAGAAAACCAAAAATACAAAAGATATATACAAGAATCAGAGTGTAAAACAAGAGAGAAATTCAAAATTCAACCAAATAGAAAGGTTCATGGGGACCAAGCATTTTTCATGGAAGTTCTATGTGAGATCCCACGTCGGTTGGGGAGGAATGAAACATTCTTTATAAAACTGTGGAAACCTCTCCCTAGTAGACACGTTTTAAAAACCTTGAAGGGAGCCAAAAGGAAAAGCCTAAAGAGGACAATATCTGTTAGCGATGGACTTGAGCCATTACAAATGGTATCAAAGGCAAACACCGAAAGATGTGCAAATGAGGAGGCTGAGTCTCGAAGGAGGGGATACGAGGCGGTGTGCCAACAAGGACGCTAGACCTCGAAGGGGGTGGATTGGGAGGTCCAGGGTCCTTGCTGGCACACCGCCTCGTGTCCACCCCCTTCAGGGCTTAACCTCAAAGAGGATGGATTGAGGGGTTCCACATCTATTAGAGAAGGGAATGAGTGCTAGAGAGGACGCTGGGCCCCAGAGGGGGATGAATTGTGAGATCCCACATCGGTTGGGGAGGAGAACGAAAAATTCTTTATAAGGGTGTGGAAAGCTTTCTCTAGTAGACGCGTTTTAAAACCTTGATGGGAAGCCTAGAAGAGAAAGCCCAAAAAGGACAATATCTACTAGTGGTGGACTTGGGCCATTCATTCTAGGTCAAGAAAATATACAAAAACGTTTTTTTTTACTTCATTCTTCAGGAAACTTCAATGCCTAGTTTTGATCTGTGTTCTTTCCAGTTATGTTTTAAACATTTTCAAACATTGCATACTAAAAGAAATTATTAAACAACATAACATTCAAATGAATCCATGACTTCTTACCGGCAGTGTCAATCATGTCATCCACCATGACAGCAACTTTTCCTTTAACGTCACCAATAAGGTTCATCACCTGCAAGGTAAATGACAATCATTGGTATTGGGATGTCATAGAAGTAATACGCAGAGTCTTTAAATCTGAGAATGCCCTTATAGAACTTTGAAAGGATATTTAATACTTGGTCTGGATATCAATCACCAAGGACCCGAAAACCGCCACATCCAATTTTAGAAGAAAGAATCCATTGTGCCGATTTGCCAATCTAAATACTATATCTTGATTATTTTCTGTTCTGCATTATAAGCGTCTAAAATATGACAGCCTTCTAAAGCTTCTTAAGATTATTATTAGTGATTCAAATGTAAACAACTACATTCTTATCCAAATTTCAAACAGACCACCGAGACTATGAGGACGGGAGAAGGTTCTGTGGATGTTTTACCTCAGCAATGTTGTGTGCTTGGCGCCTTTTGTCCACAATTGCTAAAGGAGCATCAGATAACTTTTTGGCAAAAGCACGAGCTCTTGCCACACCACCAACATCAGGAGAGACCACAACCAGATCATTGTAAGAAATTGTCTTGCTGGCAAGATAATCTAGAATCACAGGCTGGTGTCCATATACAAAATTAATGCTATTAAAAACCCAGCGTAACGAATGGAAGAAGCGAGGTAAGTATTAAATACCTCACAGTACACGTGATCAACTGGTATATCAAAGTAGCCCATTGACTGTCCAGAATGGAGGTCACAAGCAAGAACACGATTGGCACCTGCCTCTGTTATAAGATTAGCAACAAGTTTGGCTGCAATTGATTCACGACCTTGAGTCTGGAAGGCAAAACAGTTCCAAGAGAGATAATTTTACAACCAGATAAACCACACCTTGAATTATATGCTCTCAGACCAGAATAAAAAAAGACAAAAATATGATCAGTTTTAATATTTAATAAGATCTTACATTGTACTCTACGTTTTCATGGTTCGCATTTAAGTTGAAATTCAATCAAGAACGTCACTAGACGATGTTGAGATTTCAGCATCTCTCTTTGTATCATCAAAATTCTCTAGTAGGCATATCCAAGCCATGTAATTTAATTAATAGGTTCAACTAACTATTCTGAAGATTGAACTTGCCTTTCTATCAGCTCTGGCGTATCCAAAATATGGGATAACTGCAGTGATATTTTTGGCGGACGCTCTCCGACATGCATCTACCATAACAAGAAGCTCCATGAGATTCTCATTTGCAGGGGGACAAGTGGGCTGTATTAGGTAAACATCACATCCTCTCACACTCTCTTTCAACTGGACATATATTTCTCCATCGGCAAATCGCTTAATGTTAATCTTTGAAAGTTCCAAGCCCATATACCTAGAAATTTCCTAAAAATAAAAACCAAAAGATTAGAAAGCACAGGCATACATAATTCAGACTTCCAAGAGAAGTATAGGGGAATGGAAGAACAGAAACAAATAATTGAGGAAATTGAGAACTTCAAAGAGGATTAATCAAGTTTCAAATACCGAAGTGCAATAAAATAAGACCAACAATCCAAAACAAGTTGACAGAAAATCAAGACTAGATAATTTATCCACAAATATATTTTCCTATATCATGTATTGTAATTCTGAAGAGGATTTCTTTTACGTGCAATAGAAATCGAAACTTTCTGAAGAGGATTTCTTTTACGTGCAATAGAAATCGAAACTTGTACACCATAGATTATTGTTCCAATAGAACAACTTCCTTTAGAAAATAAATTGGCTGCCAAAATTCAATGAACGGGTAGATGGGATCCTATACAAGCAAAAGCATAAGCAATCTAGGAGAGTGAAAAGATCATGGCATGCGCATAACATGTGTTAATTAGAACAAGTTCTTTATGTGAAAGGATTTGGCCTTAATACTCGTGATTTTCTTCAAAAGGAAGTTTGGAGGTGTGAATTTTGAGCATCATTGATGATATAAACGTATCTCTGCATTCTAGCCAAAAATAAAACCATAAATCGTTTGAATACAATACTTAGAAGCGAACCGGGATTCAGTTCTACTTACCTGAGACAGTGCAAGATTCGCCGTCCCAGAAAACAACTTCAAACGGTTACTGCTTCTGTTGACTGGTTTCACCATTCTAGCAGATTCCAAGAACTCCGGCAGACTGCGCTCATTAAGAATAGGAACAATTGGTTTCCCATTACCAAATCTGCTCGGTTCAGGAAGACTACTCTTCTACACAACATGAAAACCGCACATAATCACGATTAACCCAATCACAACAAGGAAGTCGCAGCAGAATTTCATTAAAAAATCAGATAAAGCAGCACAAATTAATTGTAAAAAAAAAAAAAAAAAAAAAAAAAAAAAAAAAAAAAAA